ATAAGGAGCAAAGCAAAGACGGATCTCTTAAATACCAGAGGTGGGATCAGGTACCATGGAGGAATGTGCATCCCCTGCCGACCGGTCACAGCCGAGTAAAGTGCTTCATCGGTATATGGTGACGTCTCTTTATGAGTGAAAAAAATCTGGTCGGAGAAAATACTCGAAATCGGGTATTTTCCATTAAATCGCGTATAATACCCGATTTTTGGGTATCGTTGAATCCGCGAAATCGGGTATAGGAGGTGTAATCACCTAATAAAACTTAAACAATGGGATGGCGCATGTCGCCGAGTTAACTTTCATCTAGATACACATGTTTTCTAAAGGTATCACTAGACAAGTAAGAATTTGGGTGTCAAGATAATTAATGCGCTCAGGACAACAAATACCCGTGGAGCTCAGTACATTTCATGATCTGCACATAAAAAGGCGTTCGATTTGCTTTATATTTTCATAATGTTGAAAGTAAACGCATCTTCCTAATGTTCATTCCCAACACAACAGAATTGTGAAATATCAGAATTCGGGAATTTATAATAATTCCACATCAACACGACAATCATGAACAATTTGTAAATAAATCAAATTATACGGAAACACGTTTCACACACAAGATATGCCATGTATGAACAAGGGATTGTCTATCGTATCTAATTATGTGTCATTAATTACTTTCACAGTCATCTTGTGCATAAAATCAAATTTATTTATGAATGCATAAATAATGTAATGATAAAATTAAAGTGTCTAAAATTTCGGCTAAAAACACTTCTTTATTTTCTTTTAAAATCTTTTTTTTTTCTCATTTATACATATTTGCAGAATATGTCTTCAACATTTTAGGAGAGATATTGATAGTTTCAGGAATACAGCCTATGAGAGAACGTAACTGTTGATCGTTTAATTTCGCTAAGCCATCAATATTTTACCATTTCTTGGCGACTTCAAAGCGGGGGTGGGGGCTAAAAGCTTCTTGACTCCTTCTGACAAACAACCTCGACTGTGTTCTGCATGTATCCAGGAGACCTCTCCTTTCGCAATCATTGAATTAAATGTTAATGCAAAGTTGTTTGCTATATATGTCTTTGAATGTCACGGTCGGTTAGACTCGGTTAGATATTTTTAATTGTAGGGAAGATTTATTCATCAAATAAAAATTATATAGGTAAACAAAAAGCAACCTGTTATTTTCTAATACAATATGATACTACAAGTAACTAAAATTCATGTTTATTTTTTAACACATTTTTTTTTAATGAGTATTAGGAAAAGTTATTGCCATGAGTAATAAGTGTCAATGATAAAATAGCTAAAAGAAAAATCTGACATATTGTTTAGAACCATTCAGATAGTGCGTTGTATAGCATATTATCATGACGTTTTTTAAAAGATAGCGATATAAAAAAAATGCGTAAAAAAGACAACAGAAGGTAACATCTATCCTGTCTATCAAATAGTATAATAAAGAAAGGAAGTGGCTACAATTATGATGAAATTTTAATGTCCGATGAGGAATTATATTCCCAAAAAGTAAGACAAGAGTTTCCAAGGCGCAATTAAAACTCCAATGTATTATAAGCTCATGAAAAGATGTACAATTTAATTTTTATTTATACACCCCCCCCCCTCCCTCAAAAAAAGAAAATCCTGTTCACATGACTTCTCGCTCTCAATTTTCACACAAATGCACAAAATAAAGATAAAATAGCATATCTCGTATCGATTAAATCTTATTTTATTTTCCTCTTTATAATAACGTTGGTATTCTATTATGGTAGAGATATACAATTATAACTCGCTTGTACTGTACTCTCTAACTGTATGAGTAATTTATATTTCATGTGAAAGGGACGCCATACATTTCTTAGTAAAAATACATAATACAGCCTTAGTCGTTTAATTTCTTCAAAGTTTCACATTTTGTGAATAGTGCACAAATTATAAAATTAAGTATATCGAATACTTTGATGGGAAATAAAGACAAATGAGGTGTAGTTATTTGTTTTTAGAAATTATATTGAAAATAATAACGCCATTGTGTCCTCTTTGTTACCCCAGCAGTGTTTGTCGTGTGATTTTAAACATATTTGACAACCATATAAATTAGGTTTAATAAAAATAAATCCACAAGATACTGATGTACAAGTAACAGTAACTGCATAATGCGCCGTTGCTTTATTCTTTAGTTTTTATAGAAAGGTGCACGGAATACCCGATTTCGCGGATTTAACGATACCCTAATATCGGGTATTACACGCAATTTCAAGGATAATACCCGATTTCGAGTATTCTCTCCGACCTGTTTAATGGGACGTACACCATTTTACAATCAATCGATCAATATTTTTCTGCATACACTTTTAAGGGGTACCGACCCTCTAAAATGACAGATAACTCTCAGAGACAGTCAGAGTATGACTCTCAGAGTCAAAATATGAATACTACTCACAATTTTCTTAATCAGAGTTTCCTAATTTAGACTTCTGAGTAGTCAATTTAACGTTATATGAGGGAAACATTATCATCCATATCTTTTGCCAATCTCTTAATAATTGTTTTATTATATTTAAAAATAAAACATTTAAATCCTACTTCAAAAGCATTTTAAATAGAATAAGTACTAGTTGTATTTTTTAAAAGACCATTTTAATAATGGTTTAATATTTCGAGTACTTAATTCAGAATTTTTATAAGTATGACATTTTTTTTTCATATAAAGAAATATTTAGAAGAAAGATAACTCCTCCTCACAGATGTATTTTTTTCTTACAACCACATACAACATTGTAATTTTCTGACTTAGGAAGCATCGCTTCATGATGTTTTCTGACATGATTTTAACACGTATTATACTAAGTATTGTTTTCATGTACACCTCATATTTCAAATTAAATGTTATGATAATAAATTGTTACTGTTTCTGTTCTCTATGTTGAAATTTCTTCATATCATGATCTGAAATAAAAAATCATTTCTGAAAAAATAAGCTGCGCTTCTTACATCAAACTATTTTCCATGTGGCTCTAATGTTATTGTTGTTCATGAAAATATACATTAGAAATATTTTCTGAGTGAAATTTGATAGCAGAGGGTCGGGACCCCTTAAGGGACTCCGACCCTCAGTCAGGAAGGACAACTCTTTAATTTATAATTTAATTCAAAAAGTCTTTAAATGAAGCTTGAAAAATAAATCTTTTCATGCAACTATTTTCATTATATGCCTCTCAATGTGCTTCAATGTTCTTTGAACTTCTCAGAAAGGTTTAATTAAAAGTAGAATTTTTTTATCCCGAAAAAGCTTTTTTAGATACCAATGTTTATTAACATGATATAAGATTAGAAGTTATTTATGGAGCTTTTTAAAGAACCTTGAAGCACATTGAGAGGCATATAATGAAAATTGTTGCATGAAAATATTTAAAGAAGAAGGTATTGTTTCCATACAAATTTTGCCCTATGATTTTCTAAATAATAAAACTGGTGTAAAAGTTGAAAACTCATGCTTTTTAAATAATTGAAATTCAATGCAGAAAAGTCATACAAGTCATTTTTCTCACATGTGTTTTTAAATGCCAATTATGACGTCATAAACATGTGCATTTTCCCGTATTTTCTTAAAAAGTTGCAGAAGACACCAATTTTCAATGGAATTTTCTTTCAGATAACATTGTCCACAGGCATCGCTGACAAAAATCTTGAGATATGTGGTTTGTTATTGAATTTTGCACAAAATATCAAAAAATTAACGTGACCATTTTGAGGCTTTTCTGTTGAAAATAGAGAAATGCTTCACATTAATGACGTCATATTTGCAGAATGGTAAACCTTCATACCATATTTTTTCCTGATTTATCAGAGTCATTTATTTAACTAATATTTAAGCCAGTTATAAAACTTCTTGATGTCATTACAATTTTAGGGCGCAAAAAAGCTAAAACCGTACCTTCTTCTTTCAAGCTTTTTAGACTTTTTGAATTAAATTATGAATTAAAGAGTTGTCCTTCCTGAGGGTCGGAGTCCCTTAAACAATGACTTTTTCATATATTAATTGTCAAACGAGCTTTTTCAAAAGCTATCACTTGTAGCTTTTTGGCTATGGATCCGGCGTTGATTGGCGGCAAGTGGTCGTGCTGGATTTCTGACATTATTTATGTTTACATTTACAGTTTATTGCAATTATGTCTATTTGTATTTGTTTGTAAACTCCCGAACAAAACAATACTAGAGTTTACTAAAGTTTACATTGGTAAAACTTTTGAAAACGTTTATTTACTGTAGTGATAACTTGGACACTTTGATTAACTATTTTAATAGTTAACTATAGTATTTTTTTTTGTTTGAGCTACACTTTCCTGTGCAACTGTTGTAATCTGTTTTTATCTATCTTTCCTTCTTTAGAAGTACACAGTTATTTCTTGTTGCTACCGAGTGCTTTGTAACTCCCGTCCGTTTCCACTGGTAACAACTAAACAGTGTCTAATTGAGCGGTTTATATAGGTGCCCTATATTACAGCAATGGAATAAACGATTATGGCGGACAATCCTATTCTAAATTGTGCTCAGCTCTAGACATTATTTTTTTCAAGATAGCGATCATGCATTTTGTTTGCTAAACAGCATAGTAAACTTTTATATTCTACCTTAAAAGGCATGCATTTTTAACAAATGTTGGAAAGTTTTAACAGTAAAATCTATGACTATATATTGCAACGTTGAATGCATTTAGAGAGGTCGGATAGAACAAAACCATATTTGGGTATTGAATTAATAAAGCGTTGGTAATGTTAGTATTTTTGTTTGGTTTATGCAGGTGGTAGTTGCAATTAATATTTAAACGATTAAACACGAGTAGAAGAATGAAATAAGTTTAGTTAGAATATATGATATGTGCACGTGCTATCATAAATTAAATAACCTATGAATGTGCATTTTTTTATAGGTATTTGATTTTTTTGTCCTGAAAATAAGCATTTTTCTTATAGCAATTTTTGTATCTTAGGGGGTGTGTCCACAAAGCAACGGACCTTTACCATAAATTAATTAATAATTCAACTTGTTTGTCCAGTTCGTCAGGTAAATTACATATAGTGGTTGACGTAAGATCTTTATAATTGTTCATTATATTGTTATAATTTGAAAAAAAGTTATGACCGCGTTTAAAAAATATATATATGTATATATATTTTGGGATTATTTTTTCATAATTTTTCTTGATTACAGTGAATGCTTCGTTAAGCAATTTGAGGAACTGTTCCCAAGAATGTGCAATAATAAACTCTGCATCAGAGGACAATTATGTGAGAGTACAAATCAAATACGCTGCTGATGTCGTTTTGAAACTGGAACATAAGAAGAACACAAAATGTTCATATTCATCTAAAGATATCAATATTGATTGCAAAATTGATCAAAACAGATTAGGTAAGTTTCTACAATTTTTGCATAACAAAAAGTAAAAAAGGACAAGATAGACTAAGATCTCTAGGCAACCCCTGATTTCTTTAGACAAAGAATAAGTAATTGAATTAATTTTTAAATTTATTTTCCTAAAAGTCAACAACAAAGTTCTCTGTTCATGAATAATTCATAGCATTTTTCGAGTAGAAATAATTGCAGGTACTTTTTGAAAATGAACTTATAGTCTCAATGTGCATACGGTACCTTTATATGATAATTTTTTCCTTATAGAAAAGTCTGTAGATCACTTCTTGATACACATGCTTTGTTTAGAGCTACTTTAAATTGTATATGGTATGGTTTGCTAATTAAAATACATTACAGTTGATAATTTTGATGGAGGTTCAAAAAAAAATTTCACAAGTCAACAATTCTTGTCCAATACTTTATAGCCTTTTGTGCTATCATATGTAGAAAGTAAATTTGTAATTTTTTGTGTTTTGGATTGAAGTATTTTGTTTCATGTTCATATTTTATAAAAACATGTAATTTAGAAATTACATGTATGATGCAGCATTATTAATTGAAGTAATGAGTAATAGAAGACTGTTTTTGTATTGTGCTAGAAATTGGTGGGTGGGGGGGTGTCTGTATTTATGGTCATATTCTCGCCTATAGATATGAAAAAATATTCTTTTATGGGTCAGCTAACAATGTCTCATTGATTTTACAGATTTTAAGCTTAAATTCATTGAATTTTTACTTTAAAAAGAACAAATATATCTTGTTATATGAAATATTCATCAAAGCTGTTTTTTGGCGAAATGCCAATTTTATTATTTTTCATTTTGTTATAGTCAACATTTGTTGTTATTTGACCATGAATGTTTTTTTTTTAATATTTTCATTACTTGTGACAAGTACCTTCAGATGAAATAAGTGATACATTGTGAAAGTTCTGCTAATTTTTTTATTTTTCTTCCCAAAATGGTGTTATGTTTCAGTTTTGACTAAATTTCGTTGTTATTTTGCCATTGTTTGACAAAGCATTACAAAATTTTCAAATAATTAATAAACATATTAAAGATATCATTTGAAAGTGTTTATGTTGTAGTTTCATGAGAAATTAGATCAGGGTTCTAATCATAAATATGGGTTCAGCACAGATGGTGTAAAAAGTGTAATTTTAGCAAGATTGCCATGCACAAATTAGCCCTATATATCGGAAAATTTGTATCCTGGTTACCATGGTAACAAAGGGTGTCCAGAAAAAAATTATGCCATACATATAAGTTTTACCCTAGGAAGATACTATATGCCAAGTTTGAAGAAAATCTGAGACTATGCGTGCCAGACCCTTTCAGAATTACTTTGGTAATTACAGAGAATTGCTCTTAATTAATGAAAAATATTTCGCAAAATAAAATAAATCTGAAATTAAAATGTCAGAAATCTTAAGGCATCCTTAAGTATCTTATTTTTCCATTTGATATATACTTGTACATTATACAGTAATAAGACCTATAGATTTATCTGTCTGTATTTAATGATTTCATTTCAGGGTCACTGCAAAGTTGCATAGTTGGACGTTGTCTTTTAGAACAAAAAGAAAAGAAACAAGTCACGGAGACACAGGCCTGTCCATGTTAGTATTAAAATGCAAAAAAATTGTAACTGCGACATGGTGGGGGGGGGACATTTCTTAAAAGGGGATTTTTCTCCATTTTGAAGTGATCGGGAATGGTTAAAAAAAATTCATTTGAAATTATATATATATATATATATATATATATATATATATATATATATATATATATATATATATATATATATATATATATATATATATATATATATATATATATATATATATACAAAGAAACTACAAAAAAAACAAGCGTTCCACAAGCATGTATTCAATCGATTTATCTTCACTTTAGCAGCATTTGAATTAAAATAAATATAACCTATATACAATTAAAAGGAAAGCTTGAATGAAATTAAAAAGATATGGAGATAATAAACATTATTCAAGAAGATAAAAATCCATTAAACAATACAAAATAGGAGCAAAAATATCTGAACAAAATTTTGATAAAGCATTTCTTTACTGTAAACCAACTTTTTTGGCGTCGACTTTATTTTGTGATTTATCGGGGTAAACAAGTTCGCGATGATTAATTTTCAGGATCAAGCCTATTTAGGTTCTCTTGTTAATGGACACATTAAGAACCGGTTCGCGATGACAAGACTCTCGCGAAACTCGCGAAAATGTCTCGTACGCGAATAAAAGTACAGTATTGTGTACATTGACCTTCAAATTGTTTGCAAAATGCAGATGTAAAATTCATTCGTACAGTAATAACAATTTAAAATATATCAGAATATCGATTCGGGGTATCTTAAGCAAATATTTCGAATGCCAAAGAAATTTATTTCACACAGTCATAAAACGTATTCATTTATACGTTCACAATGAAAAAGAAACAGAACAACGGAGAGTGGAAAGGAAGAAAAAAGAAACATGTGCGTTTTTGACGCGAAAATTCGACGTAACAATAAACACATTTTTCTCAACGTCAAAGCTTATGTCATTAAGACCGGTTTTGTCAGAGAGCGCTCTATTTACCATCTGATTATTGTCATGGTGTTAGGATCAACCCTTGAATATTTCTCATTGACAGGTATTTTGTTAATCTTAAAACTACATGTAATATGGCAGCTACAAATTGTATTTCAAACCAGAAATTCATTTTTTTACATGTACAATGTAGCAATTACATTTATATGGATAAATACTTAATTACGTAAAGTTGAAAACAGTTGAAAATACTTTTTATGTGAATTTTACAGAAAACCAGATGATATCACACCGAATCTACAATTATACATTTTCTGTATGAAAATGTTCCTGGAAGCATTTATGGATTTTGAAATGAAGGACGGAAGTGTGAGTGTATACAGAATCTCTTCACAGCAACCAATTTAAATCATCTAGTCAGAAAACGTAACATCTTTATTAGGTCTTAAAATTCATATTTTATGATTCAATCATCGAAGAAAGGGGGTATAAAACTTTTGTCCTGTCCATCCATCCGTCTGTTTTTGTCTGTTTGTCCGTTAATACCTTGCACATAACTTTTAAGTGGACGAGGCTATGACTTTCATATTTCAGAGGTGCATTCCTTTTGACAGGGCTTTCTTGACCAAAGAACTATATGCGGTATATTACATATACTTGCCCCCACAAAAGTTACATTTTGAAAACTTCATGAAATGTGCTGAATTCAATAAATTGAATGAGAAATATAAATTAACAGAACATATTATAGTTTCAAAGCAGTTTATTCACAATTTTTGTTTTTCTGACGTCACAAACTAGTCCAATTTCAGAATTTTTTTCAGAAAGAGGACAAAATGGAAAAAATTTCAACAGTTTTAGCTTTTAAATTTATAAAGCGCATGTTTGTTCAGGATTAATATTTACATATTTCATTGATATTATCATTCTACACATTATATCAAAATATTGATCCTGAACACACATGCGCTCGGTGACTTTTACTCAAAATATCGACGAAATATGTACATTTTTCTGTAGAATTCATTAAAAACTGAAATTTACGTCATATTTGTGACGTCATTAAGTACATATGACGTCATTTCTTATAAAAATATTCAGTGCTTTGAAGTCAGCATATACTCCCCTGTTTAAGAACTTAATTAAAGATACCTCCATCAAAGTTTGATTTGGGGGGGGGGGGGAATTTTGGTTATTTCCGAATAAAGTTCTTTGGCCTCTTGGCCTTAGAGTTTAACTTACTTTTACACAATATTACCTAACTTACACCTTGGTCATAATTTTCGAACATTTGGTACTAGGCCTTCCAAACCTTATTTGTGTATTTATTTTGACAAGCCCTTCAATGAGTATAAATATCTTGGATCTTTTGATGTTGACCTTAGAGGTTTTACCTACTTTCAAAAAGTCTTCATCTTTGGCCATAACTTTTGAACAGTTAAAAACTAGATCTTTCATATTTCACAGGTTCATTCCTTATTACAAGACCGTTTGGATACCTTCAGTAATTTTAACCTTTTGACTTTGACCTTGGAATTTGACTTGCATTTGAGAAAGAAAGTTCAACGCTTCCTTTAAGCTGACATAGGGGGGGGGGGGGGGGGGGGCATCAGTGTTTCACAATCGCATCTTATTTATCATGTGTAAAATAGAAAAAAATGTTCTGCATGTATATATTGATAATTTTTTTTTTAACTTGTTGATTTGATAATCCTTTTTCAAATAAGGACATTTTACACAGATAATTTTTTGTTCAAGATTTTTAAATTAATATCATCTTTAGGTAAAATTTCTTTATTATACCTCTGATGTTATGGATGTCCATGTTTTCTCTGTTCCTGCTTTGTATTGTTTTATGGACTTTTCAACTTGAATTCTGTTCGTTATCTTCACATACGTATTTCATGTACTACATTTACTAAAAGACAAGGGCGTGTTCGATTTTACGACAGTAACAATGAATGATATCATAATGATCTTTATAATGAGAATCTAAATATCATGTAAATATTGTTGGCAAATGAAAAAAAAGATCATTGCCATCTTTAAGTGGTCATACATTTAATTCAATCAAAATAATTTGATGAGGATATAAAACTAAAATGTGCTGACAAGAAAAGGGGTTCACTAGTATACATATAACAATAAAAACCTTTACTTTGTCTGAACTTATAAAAAATATTAAAACATCATTAGCTTAGAGTCTATGATCCTATCGTCAAGCACAAAGACTAATCTTCAAATTAAAGATCGTCATTTTACTCACCAAAGTTAAGTTTATCAAAGAAACCGAGGATACTTGATGAAGAACTAGAATGCCACAATTTTTAAAAGTTTTATTAAGATAATTGAAACATACATATTCCTTAATTTGTCTTTGATAAAATACTCTTTAAAGATGGGTTGTTACTTGCATAAATGCAAGATTTAAAATATTCCTTAGCTTAATTTCGCATGACTCATTGTTTTCAACAATAACAGAGTATAAAAGCCATCTATGCCATTTCTTTTCTTAGTTTGTTGTTGTTTACTGCTGGTAAATAAAAATAACATATTTGTCAAAAAATGAATGTTCTTTTTCTGCCAAAAATAATTTTTTTACCAAGTAATTCAATGGCATATCATTGTGATATTATCACAGCTGTATATATACACATTTGGTGACTGTCTAATGAAAGAAAATCGAGCTAAGGACATTATGCAAAAAATCCTATCAACCAACGGAACACGTGTTAAGTTTTCTATGAATAACGCTATTTCACTATTTTTGGGGAGAAAATTGACCAATTTAATCGGATATAATTTTACATGACAGATACTTATTTACATAAACAAAGGGGAAAAAAACATGTACAATCCAATTAGAAACTCAATTCAGATTTTTTTTTTTAAATCATGATTTGTAGATGTTTTTTGGATACAGAATACGTTTATATCAGAAATTGGTGCAAAAATGCCGATCAAATAATTGTGACTAACTGAAACAGACCTTGGGTTTTTACAAATTAATATAATGCTTGTATTAATGCATATGATGTGTATATTACTATAAACACCTAGTATAAACATTTATTACAATCAATATCTTTGCCCCATGTGTGCAGCTGAGGATTTGATGAAGTAGAGATTATGAATCATACAAAAAAAAAACAGTTTAAATTCTATATTACATAATAGTTTAAGTTCTCAATTTTTTTCATATGCAGGGAAATTTCCTTATGTGGGCAAGGAAATCCTGGCGATTAGAAATTAACCAAAATTTTTATATCATTTAATCATAAAAATGCATATTTTTGCGGATTTAATCTCAGATGGCTCAGATACTAGAAAACATAGTACGAAAAATTAATTACAAACAAAAAAATCAGAGAAGGAGCAAAGGTAAAGTAGTACAAGAGGCCCATGGGCCACTTCGCTCACCTGAGCACATGGGCTAGTTAAAACACAAATCAGCATAGTATTGAAAGGTTAACTTGTTGTTGGAGGGGGGTTTGATTTTTTTATTACTTGAGCATCTCACTATATCACTAAAGCATACATAAGCATACATGTATAATTTCGCCATACTTGAAAAGAAGAGTTTTAAAGATTTTTCTTATATATTTCTATCTAAAGATTTGATTGCCCATCATAGCCCCACCTTGCCTCCCTGGTCATTATATAAATGCTTGAATTAACTCTAACTGAGGATGTTTCTATATTAACATCAACGATCATAGCTTTGCTATTCTTGAGAAGATTTTAAAAAGATTTTTCCTATGTATTCCTGTATAAAACTTTGATTAGCCATTGTGGCCCCTCCATATACTCTGGGGTCACGATTTGAACAAACTTAAATCTACATTACCTGAGGATGCTTCCACAGTATTTTCATTTTTACTGGCCCTGTGGTTTTGAATAAAGATTTTTAAAGATTTTTTCCCTATACATTTCTATGTAAAACTTTGATCAGCCGTTGTGACCCTGTCCTACCTACGGGGGTCATGATTTGAACAAACTTGCATTTACACTACCTGAAGATGCTTCCACATGAATTTCATCGTCCCTGGCCCAGTGAT